ATTATCGATTACTATCCGTCTGATGAAAGCGTTTTAAACGTATTCCGTGATACGTTAAAAAAAAGGGAGGGGGGGGAGGGAAGGGGATGCAAATGAAATTTCCCTTGTGTGGAAATAACGCGTAAACCTCGAATTATAAGACGAAAGATCAAAAGCACATCTATTATTATTCATTATTCATAAAGATTATAATAATAAGAATTTAACTTTATGTCTCTAAGATATAAATAAAAATACCGATATCGTTTTTTGATTTATTTCCCTTATCAATCGTACTTAACGCCAATTTGGATGTATTTTAAAAACATTAATAACAAATTGCTGTTTTATATAAATTGTCGACTGAAATTATATCGATAGTATCGATAATCTTTTTTATCGGTGTATAAAGTAATAATAAGACTCGTATATATTATCATATATATTATGTTATCTCAAAGAATACATTAACAATTACGAAAAATTATCGTGAAATTTAAAAATCGAAAAATTAGTAAAAAATCGTTGCGTTGTAAAATTGCAAATTGAACTGCTCGACTATAATTGGAAGAAGAAGAAGAAAAAAAAAAAAAACAAAAAAACAAAATACTAACCCAAGTTCGAGAAAAATGATCCTAACTACCCGTAATTATATTTCTCGTTTAACTCGTTAACATACCTCGTTATCGTTCATAATCAAATATCATTACTCATACTCAATTATTCGCGCTCCTATTAATCATACCTATATCATCCCTTTAAAACACGTGTTCAAAAATATCAATTTTCTTCCACGTTAAAATTTACATACCCGCCCGTGCTTTCGTTTCTCGTATCAAATATTCCTTCCTATTTCCTTCCAATTATTATTATTCTCCTTCCGCAGAACGACAGCGCAGAACCACACAGATCTTAAATTCTCAAGATCAAGAAAACGAGAATACAAGCCTTGCCTCGGAAAGAAGGAAAGAAAGAAAGAAAGAAAGAAAGAGAAAGAGAAAGAGAAAGAGAAAGAGAATTCGACGCACGCGCGTAAAGCGCGCAAGAAGCGACATCTCGCGTTTCCGGGTAACGGAAAATGCCTGGAAAGGACTCCTCCTCCTCCTCCTCCTCCTCCTCCTCTTATTCTTTTCTTTTCTCAATGAATTCCTAATCGTAATATGATTTGCCGGCGCAACACGCGGAGAGGATCCTCTCCTGGCGTCTGGCCGGGCAATTATATCAGCGGCATACGAGACAGAATGTCGACATCGCGGTGCAACGTGCGCGTGATTGCAAATGGGACAACGTCTGGGCCGGGGGAAGGAGGGAGGGGAGAGGGAGAGGGGGACGGGCAAAAACCGGCACGACGATAGGGACGATGCGAGTACGTCATAGAGAGCTAGGCGTACCACCGACCGAAAAGAAAACACCACCATTACGGGAGGCACGTACTTACGCTAGAAATACGATCCCCATGCCAACGATTAACGAGCCACCACTCTAGTCCCTCTATCGGCTGGAAACCGGTCACGTTTAACTTATTTTTCAAACTTCCAATAGTCCAGTTCTATTCCAACGATGGTGTCGCGGAAGGGCTGCCGGTTTTGTTTCGATCCCTTCGTATAAATATATATCTATATGTGTGTGTGTGTGTGTGTGTGTGTGTGCGCGCGCGTATATATATATATATAATAAGAGTCACTGCCATCGACTTCTATGGGTGTTATCCAACCAGGAACTTGTCACTCGTTACACGGGAGAACGGCTAATTACCTTCCACGAAGATGCACTTTTTTGCACCCGTTTCGTTAATGTATAACGTCATAATTCTCACTTGACAAGCTGGGAGGTTCCTATCTGGGAGAGAGGGAGGGGGGGGGGGAGAAATTCCAAAGGCAAAGGAGTCGATTCCCTTTTGAACGTTCGTGATCAAGAGGAGCCGTGATAATAAAGATTTGATAATAAGTTCATGGAATCCATGGATTATGCTCGTGACTACGAATACGATTATAATCGTATAATATATATTATAATATAAACGGTAGATATTAACGCCGCATCATCGAGGACGAGAGGATCGAAGGAAAATTAAAATTTCTGCAATTATAACGGATGAATGATACTTGTGATATCCCGATAAGTTCTTAAGTGTCGCTTAATTGACGGGATAAATCAAAAAAAAAAAAAAAATAGAGTTCTCAACTTCTTGAACAATCGGTTAATCGATGAAGTCGTCTATCGGTTAATTCAATCCCCTCGTTTATTCCAAACAATTGATTCGAATAAAAAATTCTTACGCGATTCTTAACGCCAATCAAAAATCCACGTCATCTATGTATCCACATATCGATCTGAAGAGAGATCTATCGAATTCTACCGTGGTAGAAGGCGATCGTCGGCTCCCAAATCCGACAGAGGATGATATCCCGTCAAATCGAGGAGGGGGGGGAAAAAACGTGTTATTAAACACGTCCAAAGTGATCGGGCTGAAAAATCTCGTTAAACACCGCGCTGTCGGTTCCTAACAACGGATCCGAACGAAAGTAATCCGAAACGGTTTTTAAGATCGCTACGAATGAATTTTTTCCATCCTAGATCCCTGGAAAATGGGCCTTTTCTTGCTTCGTTCCACGTAACGTAATCAGAGGTTAAAACGTGGCCAAGACAACAACGGGCCGGGAGAAGACGGCGACACGGGTGGAGAGCGAAGGGAAGAGGAGGGAGAGGAAGAGAGAGAGAGAGAGAGAGAGAGAGAGGGAGAAAGGAGCAATTCCTATCTTCTCGCGGCACAGTTCAACTGCGAAGGTCGGTCAATGGCCAACGCCGGTTAACAGCCACTAAAGTGGGGGGAAAGAAAGATATCCGCGGGGGGAAAAGGAGAGGAGTCGGGCGGACTGAGGGGGGAGTAAGGGCGACGTAACTCGGATGGTACCAGAATATCATTACGCTCAATTGGTATACGGCGACATCCAGCGACCAGATGGTACATATCAATGCACGTGCGTCCGGAGAAAAAAGGGTTGACACTGGCTACCAGTGTCCACCGGCCACTGTAACAAGATTATTCGAGTTCAACACCAACCACCACACTCGGCGCGATCGACTGATTGACTGGAACGCGGAAATTTCTTCTTTCCACCATGGGGAAACGATCCGGCCCCTTATGAGCCGAACAGTATCGCCGTTTAACCACATTATCGGGATAAGGGGGGAAAAAACGATCGTTTGAGAAGATGCTACTGGGACGATGATGGATCTTCTTACGATGGGGAGGGGGAGGTAACGTACGGTTCCTCGATTCGATGGAATAGTGTAGTAATTGATACGATGGATTTTCTTTCTTTCTTTTTTTTTTTTTTTTTTTTTTTTTGAAGAAAAT